ACCCTCCAGTCCTCCTCGCAACTCAGACCTGGGCTGTTGGCAGATCCTGGCCTCAGCTCCCCTCCCTCACTGGCCTCCAGAAGTCCTCGTTATCCACAGCACCCACCCTTCTTTCTTTGAGTCCCTTTCCCTTCCCACACCTCCAACCTCAGCCCTACCTCTACTTCCCTCTCTCTCACCAAAAATGCCCAGAAGTACGTTTGCTAATTGTTATCCAAAGCTATTTTGGTTAATGTCATGACACATATTCATTAATGGATGTATGACTACGACGAATGCTGCTTTGAATGATGCTGCCTTGAGAAATAACTCTACAAACGTCGTTATATCACAGTCTATGGCCTATATTTCAAATAGTATTAGCTCCTTACTCTCTGGAGTTCTGAGTCAGACTTTTTATAGTTCACATAACCTAGATTTGTGAGTCACTATGTACAATAAATAGCATTCCCACGGCAACCACGTGTCTTGGAATCAGTTCCAGGTGTCGTCATGGCCATTGACACCACTGCCTTCTGACAGGAAGTGTATTGTAGAATTCACGTTGTTCTCAGGCCTCAGTTTCCTCATCTCTAAAATGAGAGGGTTGGATAAGTTAGTAGTTCTAATGTTTACCTTTAATTCGTGGCATCTCCCATTTATTTTTTATTTGAAATAAAACTTTTGAATTTTGTCTTCTACCTAAATAACATATTTTGTTTTGTGTTTCCAGATGAAGCTCACACTGAGTAGGAAAAAAGGAAAAAGCAAAGGATCAAAGCTGGGGAAAATACTGGACCATGTGCTTCACCTCATGGTGCCAAATAAAGAGAAAATGGGGAGAAGATAGGGACAGATAAATATCTATTTGCTCACATTGTGCTCTCATCCTTGGCAGCATGTTGACAATGCCCTGGAAATAACTTATTTTTCTTGCAACCTTTCTCCAGCCTGATTGGTCAGCCTCCAGAAGATGTGGCATTTTGTAACTACTTGTGTTCTCATGTGGATTTAGAAGAAATTAAAAATGAAGCCAGTACCCAAGGAACAAATGAAAGCTGGCCATTGGCAGCAGATCTTTCCAGCAGAGTGAGGGCAGCCACTGGGATAACGCGTGGTCCAGGATTACACAGGCTGACCTTGCCAGGCCCTTGTTTCTCTGACTCTATGATAGTCAGCAAAACACAATCCATATTCATTGGCTGCATTTTCTTGGTTCTGTTTTGTTTTGTCTGGTCTCCTGACCTCTTCTTTCCCCATGTTGTAGCTCCAAGGTTTTGAGGATTACTTTGCTGTGCATGCCGCCTTTCCTATCACCTCTGCTCCCATTCAGTCTCATTTGTTTACCTGTTTCTTTCTTTCTTCTTCTAGCTTTTAAGAAACCTTTCAAATGTCAACCCCTGGAGTCCCAAGTGGCAGCTTCCTCAATTCATTGACTGACTAATTTTGCTCATTATTTTGGAGATGGGGCTAAGGTTTCTTTTAAAAAGAAACATCAAACTGCGTGTTTATGTCCCTAGGCCTCAAATAATTAAAAAGCATAATGTTTGAGAAAAGATCACTTCTATCAAGCAATACACAAGCAAGAAAATCCAATTTTCCCAAGTGAAATTTCTGACAAACCACAGATTCTTTGTAAAGAAGCAGAACACCCCTCTCTGGTGGCCAGGCTACCATGTTCCTACCTTGACATCAAAGAAGAGTCTCTCTGCATAAATAGACTGTGTGTTAATAAAATAATATTTATGATTCAGGTTTTTTTTTCTTTTCAATATCAAGCTGTATCCTGCAGGAACAAAAATAAAAGAAGTTGATGTCTACAATATAACTATTAAGGGGAAATTTGCTCCACTGTTATTTGGATGTAATTGGTACTGAGCACCACAATGCACTTGTAATTGGGTCTGTACTTGTTCACTTCAAGGGTTCCATGCTATTTCTACTTGAACCCATTTTTTTGATACCGTTCAGCTCAGCAGTGCCAGCTAACTCTTGTTATGCAGTTGAAAAACTGTGGCCATTAAAAATAGGATACGGTGTGATTTTGTTTTGCAGCACTGCATGGAAAATCAGTTGCTGTTCATAACAGCTCTGTGGTTGGTTGATTTAAAGCAGGGGGGTGACTTGGAATTGACAAGCAGACAGTTTGTGAAAAGGGATATTGTATCTTTAAGGCTTTCTGACTGATTGTGTTTAACTGCGCCACACAGCAGGCAGTAATTAGGCTGTAGCTTCACCAAGAGACTTAAAGCACTGGCTCTGGTTCTCAGTTCTCCAGACTTTTTTTTTTTTTTTTTTTTTTAAGCACAAACATTTTTTTTTTATTTGGATTTGAATACATGATAATTTTTTAAAATTGTGAGTGAGTGTGTGAGTGAGCACATTAAACCCAACCCAGCGGCTTCCTGTGCAAGCCGCCTCAGGGACCACCCTGTGCTGATGGCTCTTGGGCTCTAGGGAGACCAGGCAGCCGCATTGATAGGACAACATGATGCCACTGCTGGAGAAGGTCAAGGTGCTCTTGAAATGAAAGGATGTCAGCTCTTATAACGCAACACAGTATCTTCTGGCCCAGTTCACAATGTTAATGAGACTCTAGTTGAAGCATGCTACTAAGATTAATAGACAAAATACCTAATAATTTTTATTTAGGGGAAAGAGGAACTTTCTTTACCTAAGGCTGTTAAGTAGAAAAGGGTGTATTTTAGAAGTAAATTGAGCAAACCATTAGCTTAAGGAGTATTTTCTATCTACCACCCTGCCTTCTTTGCTCCATACCCCCTCCCATTAAAATGCCTCATTGCTGTTTTGGAAATCAGTGAACATCATCAATTTGTTCTTATTTGTTAAAGATGGAGTTTTAAGCTTTTTATGCATTTGTTATCACAAAGGTGCAGTAGACATATTTTATATTGACCTTATAAAAAATAAATGTTCAATTACAGTTGGGTTGACCACGGTGACTGTCTTCATTATCAATCAGGCAACAGTGGCTGAGTCCCAACTGTGTGCATGACACTAAGTTGGACGCTGTGGGAGATAGACATTGTTCTTAGAACATAATTGTTATATTTTCCAGAGCTATGTATAAAGTTTTCTTCCTCTTGTTTTTTACAGAGGTGAGTTATTCCAATTAGATTTGACTACCACTTAATTCTTAAATTTCTATGTTGTTATTTTTTCTTATTACATGATTTTTTTACCTTTCTTACTTTATTATTGATGTACATAAATATCTTTGCTTATTCATTCTTATACTTCTATCCATTAAAGATCTGTATGGATTATAGATGATGGTGGTTTTAAATTATAATTCCCCGTATTTGGGGATGACGTCAGAGTTTTTGACATTTTACCTCCCAGTATGTCATCTACGTCTTCCTACAACATCCTGAGGGTGACTGGGGAGGTGATATCATTATTTTTTTAAAGGCTCAAGGGCTGGACAGTGAAAGGGATTTGGCTTCGGAATCAGGTTCGCTGACTGTCTGTTCTTGTCATAGTAATAGGATCGTATATTCAGCCCCCAAATGAACCATTTTCTAATTTAAGAGTAATGAAAACATTTTAGTATAGCTTTACCATTTTAAAACATAGTTTAAAAATCAAACACAGGCTATCATAAGGAGATTCTGATTTTTAAAATTTGCTTCTACTAATTTTGAGCTGATGTTTGTCCTTTCTCTGTAGAGTTAAAAACTTTTGGAAGCTCTCTGTTCTCTTGGTTTTGGTATTTTGGGGCTGCCTTGAAGATAAATTACTTTAATCTGTGGGCTAAGTTGCATTGATGTATTTATCTTTCTCAAAATGCTTTGTCCTAAGGTCAGTACTTTGAAAGATTTGATCTAAATAAATTATAAATGTGTATCAAAATCTATTTGCTATTAGAGCAAATTAGAAATATGTCCCACTATTGCTTTGAATGTAACAAAGATGAATTCCATTCTATAGTTCAAATTTCAAATGTAAGTGTGTACTTATATATATGTCTACATCGAAATGTCGAGGTCAATAATTCTATAAATTTCTAAGGTTGGTTTATTCCATAGTGCTGATAAATGTACCTTGGAATTAGGATGTACAGAAGATCAAAGATTAAATTGCAATTTTTTTCCAAAGTGACAATGAGTCTAATTCACTGTCAGTTAAAGCCAGGTGTTTCTCCCCCTAGTATTAAGTTCTTCAAAACAGTGGCTGCATAGGACACCATTCGCAGAGGCTTAGCGCTGGGGAGAAAATGATTACATTAAATCGAATGATATGAATAATTCATGACATCACATTTTGTAATCCTGGTGCTAAGCATAAAACCAGTGGTTTATTTTTTAGCAAAATGTTTTTGTATCATTTTAGATAGTGCATAATGCAAAACAATAACTGCATACATAATGCAAGAAGGATGGTGGTGAATAGGGTCTTTAATAGTGCTTGCAGCATCATCTGGGGTGTGATCACAATAAACATGTTTGGATCCAATGCCCATGGGTGCCCAGCATTTGCTGGAATCTTCTGAGTCCAATAGAATGGCTGCCTTTTAATTTGTTTTTGAATATTACACTTGACCTTTACCATGGATCTGAAAGTCAGTCCTTGTATATTGCTAACACTACAAATCCTTTCGTCCCCTCTCCTTTCAGTTTACTTGGTGGGCAATCCTATTGGGGGTAAACTGCTGATTTTTACATGCCATTTTATTTTCCAGCATAGAGTTGGAAATACCAGAAAAATCCGTAGAATGTGAACTTTTATTTTTCTATAAAGAACTTAAAAGTTCTGGGGTAAAATGTCAGTTACTTAACAATTCATCCAAGTACTTATTAGAAATGTCATTTATATCTCTAAGACTAAATAAATGATGCCTTCTATTTGAATCTTCTCCTTATTTTCTAGAGAAAGCATCTTTTCTTTGTAATTATCAAAGGAGATCTAGGATGTCTCTGCAACCTTCATAAAACAGTTTCCAGGTCATGTACACTGTAGCAATACTTTAACACTAGTCTGATTATTCTGCTGCATTTCAGGCTGAAATAATTGTGTACCTGGACCATCTGCGGCTGCCTCTTCCAGAACCTTCCCGTGGACCGCTCCAGGGCACTCTCTGGAAGCCAGAATGGACTCCTGCTGATTCTCCCACATATTTGTCTTGAATGAAGGAATGGCGTATGCCAGTGGATTTCAAAGCTTCTCACAAAACATCTCCACATCTGAAGTCTCAAGAGTTTATGTCAAGCATTTGTATTACTTACAACTAATTAAATATACCATTCCTGTTTTACAACATGAACACATCTGCTGATAATGTTGTAACTTGTATTATTATTATTTATTTGAAACAATACATTAATAATTAATGAGTAGGTCAGTAATATAAAACTAATATCTTGACCTATTTAGAATAGACATTAATTATCACATGTATAGAAAATAGTGTGATTTTAAATATTTTTTTCACAAAAAATAATTTGGAAGCATGTTAAAATACCTCATTTCCATATTATTTATTTACCGTGATTTGGAGACTATAGTTTAAAGTTTTATTTTACAAGACTAAGCAGACTGTCAAAAAGGGTAGGTTATGAATATTAAAGAAAAGGCAAGAGAGTTGGCATTTGGAAGTTAATTGTAGTGATTTGTTGAGGTTATCTAAGGGAAAATACCAGATGACCCCATTATTGGATTTGAATATAAAAATGCTGGATGTATGATACATGGTAGCCTGAGATCTATTGTTCTTATCAGAGAGATATAAAATTACCTAGATTTAACTGAAGGCAGATATCAAACTTGTAAAAGAACTGATATTCTTCAGAGGAGTGCAAATTCTATGTTAAAGACACAAAACAGATTCTTATTGCTTAATACTCTGCCACAGTTCGATAGTGACAGAAATTGGTTTCCTTTTTCCTCCCTACCCCTACTGTCTTATTTCTACAATTCTCTCTAAAGTTACCAGTTTTTGGATGACTGATTCTGGTTTTTACTATATGATCACTTGATCAATGGAGACCTGCCCATCCTGCTTCTGACTATCGTGATGTCATAGTAGAGCTGCTTTAGACAAATCCAAAGTACTCACTTCTTCCTCCAATTTATTCTTATCTGGTTTAAGAAAACAGTAACTTATTTTTGGCAGAGTCTATCAAAAATGAGAGGAACTGTCCATAGTATAAGTTTAGTTTGAGTACAGAGAATGATAAAAGATATTGCTAAAATAAAATCCTATGTATCTAAGTAGCAACTCTTTTTATCTTTTTCTTTAATAACATAGCTATTTTATGCTGCATAAAACAGAATACAGGTTCCAGGGCCTGTTTGGCCACTTAGAACCGCCTCTTCTTTATTTATAAAATGGAAGTACAGAAACCGTGCTGGGTTTAATAGGGAAAATAAAATAATGTACAGGAGAATATCTTGTAATAATGTTTTATAGAAAAAATTATTTTATCTGTTAGAAGATTATTTTTTTCTTGTCAGTTAATGCGTTACTAATGATTTACTTTTAAAAAATTAAATGTGCTAAAAAAGCAAGTAAGTCAAAGCCATTAGGAGGTTCACCTATATTTTGAAACACTCTTTTAAGCATGCCAAATTAGTGACATGGGCTTTCATGTGTATCTTGCCTTCACACACTTAAATGCATAACCTTGAAAGTAATAAAATTTGCTGAGTTGGCTATTTCCCTGCCTCCTCAGAACATATGTCAACTGAGCAACAGAGAATTTGCCATAGCAAAAAGAAAGATAGTTCAGTGAAAGCTTGTTTAATAATTAATCCGCTGAGTAAGTGTCTGAATATTTGATAAATATTTAGTCACCATGTGTATCAGGCAGCATTGGTTGCATACCAAATAATTTGCAAAGGTAAAAACTGCCAGTCATAGGCATCAAAGATTAGGAGATTTCATGATCACAAGCCAGAGATGTGTAAATTATTCCATATAACATAAATCCAGAACTATAAATCCATGACTAGCCACCCAGTGTTATTCTAAGAGAGTAACAAGAGGCCACTGCCTTGTCCCCAGAGTTCTTCTATAGTGTATTTGGTATCACATTTTAATTAATAGCTGCTTGTCTGCCCATGTGTATAAAGTAAATATTCTGGTGCATACATGAAATAGAATGCTCAAATACAAACCCCATGTCCTCTTGAAATTCATACTATTGTACTAGGAAAGGAATGGGGAGCGGGGGCAGTGATCCACTGATGTACCCTGAATGGAAACAGAGCTTGCTTCAGCATCTAGAGACAAGACATTGAAACTCATCTTGATAAACATTTATTACCTCCCTAGGATGTTCAATGCACCGTGCAGCAGGAGGGGAGAAGCTAATGTGTGGATCTTTTCAGTTCAGAAAATGTAAAAATTAATTATTGTATAGTGAAAATAAGAAGTTTTGCTATCTACAAGGTAATCACTTATAAATCATGTTCTGACATGAATTCCTAGCAAAATCCTCACAAATTCATGCAAACCTCTCCAGAGAGCTCATGGTCTCCTTCTTGCAACACCACACAGGCCACCTCTCAGTCAGTTTCAGGTTTTCATTCCTAGATATATTCTCAAGAGAAATAAAAACATATGTCCACACAAAAGCTTGTATGCAAATGTTTATGGCATTTGCATACAAGTAAACAGATAAACAAAGTGTAGGGTGTTCATATAATGGAATATTATTCAAACATATAAAGAAATGAATTAATAATGTGTATTATCATGTTATCATATCCAGGCTTTCACCTGGGAATGGGGGTTGTGGGTGTGTGTGTGGGGTGAATAGTCACAAATAGAAGATGGGAGTGACTGCCCTTCTTGGCACCCCCTGCTGGCCAGAGTACCACTAATGATGGCTCCAGAGAGGCCTCATCGCTCTTCCAGCCTATGTGAACCATTGCCATGGCAGTCACAGTAGTAAAAAGGAAGGGAGTCCAGGGGATGCAGCATGTGGAAAAAAGAGATGACCCCAAATGAGGCATTGGAATGGGGCCTTGAGGATTTCTCCCAAAACAACTAAAAAGGATTGATCTTACAGGGAACTATTCTACTTGAATTTACTCACAGGCACCATGTTCTGTTTTTTTAAACTAGGGTTCTGTTCTCCATACCACTATACTTAAACTCTCTATTTCCCTATTATACTCCTCTTTCACACATGACTAATAAAGTGAAAATGGGTTAAATAAAGCAAAGAGACAGTAAAAATGTATTTTGCAATATTAAAAGCAGTTTATGGATCAGAAGACTTAATATTTTTAAGATAGCAATGCTCTCCAAATTGACATACAGATACAAGGCAATGGTTATCAGAATCCCAGCTGTCTTTCTTATAGAAATTGGAAGACCAATTATAATACTCATATGTAATTGCAAGGAACTCAAAATGGTGACACAATCTTGAAAAAGATTGTCTGAAAAACTCATACTGGAGAACTCATACTTTCTGATTTCAAGACTTAAGTACAAAGCAATAGTAATCAAGACAATGTGGAACTGGCACAATGACAGACATAAAGAATGATGAAATAGAATTGTGAGTTTAGAAATAAACTGACATATTTATACTCAATTCATTTTCAAGAAGGGTAGCAAGGCCATTCAATGAGCAAAAAGTAGTGTTTTTAACAAATGGATAGGCACATGAAAATAAAAGACCCTTACCCCACACCATATACAAAAGTTAATTCAAAATAAATAAAAAAATCTAAATGTAAGAGCTAAAATCATAAAACTGTCACAGAATAAAAGACAGTGGTTTATTCGTGGTGGTTTATTTAGATTTGGCAATGCTTTTTTTGGATATGACACCAAAAGTGTGAACAACAAAATAAAAACAATAGATAAAATGAACATCAATAAAATTGAAAAATGTTTGTACTTCAAAGGAAGCTAGAAATAAAGTGAAAAGACAATCCAAAGAATGGGTAAAAATATTTTAAAATCATATATCTAATAAGAGACTTGTAATTATAATATGCAAAGAACACTTACAAGTTACTAATAAAAAGACAAATAACCCAAATAATAACGGACAAAGGATTTGAACAGACATTTATTCAAAGAATATGTAAAAATGACCAACAAACACATGAAAAGATACTTGACAGCATTAGTAAACAGAAATATGCAAATGAAAACCACAGTGAGATATCATTTTACACCCAGTAGGTTGGGTGGAATAAAAAAGTCAGATAAGTGTTGGCGAGAATGCAGAGAAATCAGAACTCTTATACACGGCTATGAAAATGTAAAATGGTACAGCCACTGTAGAAAACACTCTGACAATTCCTTGAATGGTTAACATAAGATTACCATATGACCTATAAATTACATTCCTAGATATATTTCAAGAGAAATAAAAACATATGTCCACACAAAAACTTGTATGCAAATGTTTATGGCAGCATTATTCACAACAGCCAAAAGGCAGAAAGAACCCAAATGTCTGTCAACTAATGAACAGATAAACAAAGTGTAGGGTATTCATATAATGGAATATTATTCAAACATATAAAGAAATGAAGTAATAATGTGTATTATCACGTGGATGAACCTTGAAAACATTGTACCAAATGAAGGAAGTTAGACCCAAAAGGCCACATATTGTATGACTTCCTTTATATGACATGTCCAGAATAGGTAAATTTATAGAGATAGAAAGTAGATTGGTGGTTGTTTAGGACTTTATATCCCCCCCACCTTAAGATAGGTTGGGGGGGATATAAAGGCGATAGCTCGAGGGTACAGTGCTTCCTTTTGAGATGATGACAATGTTCCAAAATTGGCTGTGGAAATGTTTGCACATGTCCATGAATATGCTAAAAAATCGTTGAAATGTACACTTTAAATATGTGAATTGTATGGTATTTAAATTATCTCAATAAAATCATTACAAGATAAAGTGATTTTTGCCATATTAGAAGTGGTTTTTCATGGAGAGAGGAAAAACTTCCATCCAAACTGTGTCCTCATGTTTCCACCATCTAGTGGCAGCCGTTTTCTTTGGAGCTCTTTATTTTTGAGCAACTGCTTCCCTTACTCCCCATCATAAGAAAAGAAATACTCAAACTTTTTTGGTGCTTCCAGTACATAGAGCTACCATTGACCTTTGACATTTTGCCTAAAAACTCCTGGTTTCCTTCATTGGGAAGCTCTGTGCTTTCCAAAAAACATTCAGCTTGTTTAATAAACTGATCCAAACAGACAGGGTAAGGCTATAAACCCTTAGGGTTCACCTCTCCTCACAAGTACAGTACATTTTGAACATGGGTTCTAAAGACTGTGTGACTTTGAGCCTATAAGTTGTCTAACCAAACAACCATTATGAACTTATTCTCCTATGCTTAATTCTAAAGATGCAACAAAAGCTAAAAACACAATTTCTAAGTGTCTCTTGTAGCTAGGGATGACCATGTAGCACAGTTTAAATTTGATACAAGCAGAAGTAAACTGGAGTTTCAGGGTAGATTTTTCTTTCTTAACACAGCTGGACACTTGTTTTTCTTTTATCTTGCCTTGGATGCAGATGTAAGTGATGATGATGCAGCAGCCATTTTATCACGGTTCGTGAGAATTATAGAGATACTGGCTCTGATATCTGTGAGTCACTGAACCAATGTCAATGGCCACCCGTCTTTAGACTTCTTGGTAGGAAAAAGCTGATTTACTTAAGCTCCTCTTAATAGGCATTCTGTAACTGGTGATAGTAATTCCTGCCAAAGCATCATCATTCTATGTTTGATGTCTATTTTAAAACAGTAGTGGGAATTTCAGGCTTTATATTGGAAGAAAATTAGAACAGACAGATAAGTAGGAAAATGTTTTGGATTAAATGGTGTCTTATTGTGCCCTTAAAATCACAAAATACTTACTGTATGTACTTCATGTTTGCCTAGGCAACCTCAGGATTATAGAAACCTTCCTGTAGTAATTTTAGGTTCATAAATATACTTTGTATCAGTGTAAGGGAGTAGAAAGAGGACTGAATCTAGGCTTAAAAGGGTGAATTGAAACCCTGACTTTTTTTTTTTTACATTTTTTAAAATTATTATTATACTTTAAGTTCTAGGGTACATGCGCATAACGTGCAGGTCTGTTACATATGTATACTTGTGCCATGTTGGTGTGCTGCACCCATCAACTCGTCAGCACCCATCAACTCGTCATTTATATCAGGTATAACTCCCAGTGCAATCCCTCCCCCCTCCCCCGTCCCCATTCCAAGTCCAAGTGATCTCATTGTTCAGTTCCCACCTATGAGTGAGAAAATGCAGTGTTTGGTTTTCTGTTCTTGTGATAGTTTGCTGAGAATGATAGTTTCCAGCTGCATCCATGTCCATACAAAGGACCCAAACTCATCCTTTTTTATGACTGCATAGTATTCCATGGTGTATATGTGCCACATTTTCT